TGAGTTGAGATGGCACAAACAAACTTTATATAATGTACCATATTGATTTATGCTGACAACATCTGAAATAAGTTATTGGTGACACAAGGGATGTTATGCAACTACACACATTTTAAACACTCTAAGAATTACACAGTGAAGATATTTTACAGATGCTTGATGCCCTTGGAAGTCTGGAAAGTTTTCAATTTGTCATGGCATTCGGGTCAACTGCTTTGCACATAAAAAAGGGCTATACATAAAAAGAGAGTAAAATCAGTTTATTTGTAATCCGATTTGCAAGAAGATCTGCGAATATGTCTAAAGCACACAGAAAATACGCTTTTCACTTGAGTTGTAAACAAGCTTATTCAGAAAGGTAATTAAATCATTATTTTATATTTATTGCCCAAGGCAAAGTAATGAGATTAAACTCTATTCGTCAAAACACAGATTGATTATTTGCAACGGGCAAACATTCCAGGAAAAATAAATCACCAAGAGTTAAAGCTTTGAAGCGCAACATGGCCACTGACGCAAAAGCAACACTAATTTGGATGACAGCCAAATAGCTCAATTATGGGATTCTCGGAACAATCAGAAGTGTTGTATTCATGAAACTCTGCATAAGCAGAGATAAATATTTCTCCAGCATGAACTACTGTCATTTCCTAACTGATGTGCATGTGTAAAACAACCTAGAAGCTTACCTTGGTGTCTTAAGATGGTTAGAGAAGTCTTGGGTAATAAAGACTGTCTTCCCTCACTAAATTTCACATACAGTTAACATATACCCTACTTTATTCATTTCATCTACAGGAAACAACTTGCTCATATGTTCAGTGTGGAAGACTGTGTTTTGCTGATGTTTTAATATGAAGGACACAATAAGAATCCTATTTAGGCCAAGTAAACAATAAAGCTGGACTGCCAGAGAAATAAGCAAACAGTTGAGTATTTCTCCTACGGCCTCTGTTTTTGACTCACAATCAGACTACAGACTAACTAGGTCATCTTATTAAATTATTCCATTAGGACATGCCCAAACAAGGAACTCAGTGGCATCGGGACAATTCAGCTCGACCAAAGTGCCCACATGACTGAGCCTGAACAGCTGAGTGTGTTTTTGTCTTAACATGTCCTTGTTTACTGCGTGCAGACAGTGTCTAAAAATGCTCTGCATGGGAAAAAATTAAAAGATATGAAAGCAAAATAACAACACATCATATTCCTCATCACATTATTTTACAATTAAATTAAAACTATTCAAATTCCTTCATCTTTTTTACGTTTAATTTTTACAGTGCGTGAAGTGCAAAATTCTCTTTTTACTGGATGCAAGTTCCAGTCATTTATGGTGCTCAGAGAACACTTGATCTATTGCATAATCCTGACATTATAACACATTCTGTACAGTGGTGTGCCATGGTTCAAAATTCAAATGTAAAACAGGTGACAGATTAACAATTTACCATCTGATATTACTTTTTAAAAGGCTTGGATACAGCATTTTCCTATTAGAACCAGATTAAACTGACAAAACAATTTTATTTAAGAAAAAAAAACCTTTTGGATATAGGATTGTGAAGTCATACCTCAAGCTCAGTTTCACATCTGTTGATATCATCTGTGGACTGATTCAGCTTCTCAAGCTCTCCCTATAAAGAAAACTCAAGAGTCAAAAATCTGAAATAGAGACATATTCCACGGAGGAATTAATTCATTTCTGTTTCTCATAGACTGCAGTAGCACAAAAAAGAAAGACAAGTGGGTTAATGCTACATCTGCATATGTTGTGAGAAGACGGCAATTGATGCAGTGTTGCCATGTCCGCTTATTACAATCAGTTATTCAAATCATAAAGTCGCTAAATGGACAGTCTCCAGACTCCAGGTGCGTTTTATTATTATTATTATTATTATTTCTGGAACTGCTAGTTCTTTACATGCATAGTAGCATATAGCCTAATGAAGCATGTTCAACCAGCGTTTGTTTCGATATTTCATTCCTGTTTCTTGCCACGGTTTTATCCAAATTATGCATTTTTATAATACGTTTATTCTACAAAGCATCGATTGAATAAGGATATTTTCACTGCGATAAAATAAAATCCCAGGGTCGCTTCTTTCAGGCGTATTGTTTGTTTTGTCGGAGCAGGTGGCTAGTTTTTCCACTGAGATCTGGCAACACTGAATTGGGGCACCCGTGCACTCTGTGCCGCAGACGAGCCGTCAATAAAAAGCAAGTTGCGGCGAATTAATCAATAATTCCCCTCAGGATCAAGGAGTCAATATAGAGATTAACATGCAATGTCACCGTTAAGCAAAATGTGATATGAAACAACCAACTAAATCAATGTGTAAATGCAACGAGTGTATTTGAAACGATCGATCCTTTCATCTCATTCGAAAGATTGACATGCTTTTAAACTAATATAAATGGCAGTCTACCTGAATTCTCGGGTCCACCTCTTCTTCCTCGGGTGATTCAAATTCTTCATCCGACCTGTTCTCCTTGTCTGAGCTGTCCATTTTATTTTATTATCTTGTCAAAGAAATTAAAGGAATGTCCTCCTGTGAGGTGAATGCTAAATATATGTGTCCGTTAGAGATTATTACACATGAATCGCCGAGATCATTCCCTCACACTGTCTGGAGCTCTCATTTAAAGAGAGAAATGCTGAGATGCACGCACACAGCTGTGCCGTATGTGAGCCGTGAAGGCAAGGTGAAGACTGTCCCCGCCCCCTTCGCTTTTCACACTAGTGTCTCAGTCTCTCTCCAGCTCAACACTTACAGGCAGTGAATGTCAAATTGATGACAGTGACAAAAACGCTTTGTCTAAAGAGAGAGCACTGGACTTCCAGTGTTGGACCTGATAAATGTACTGGTATCATTCCACATAAAATGTTGCCTGCTGTGCCAACAATGAATATGAAAACGAAATATAAAAATGAATAGCTGACGCAAACTTTCACTATTTGCCTACAGGCGTTATAGCATAAGAAAAAATCCATCCTTTAACTTTATTATTACTTTATTTGTTTTCTTTTTTTCAAGAAGATGCATTGTACCTGTATTGTACCTACAATATATATTGTATATCTCTATAATAACAAATGAATAAAATGTTTTATTATTTAATAATATTTTAATGTTATTTATTTTTATTAATAAAATATTTTAAACTATAGTGACATTATCTTAAGCATAAGTGAATATTTCCTCTTTTTTATAACACAATCTTTTAGGTTAGTCAGTTGAGGATCTCAAAATGTTACCATTATCATGATACTTAAACAACTGATTATTAAAAAATGGTGTATTTATTGAAATATCAGCAATAAAATCGTATCATATAAGCCCTGCACATCCTGCTGTCAAAAAGCATATAGCTAAATGTGAACCATTTTAATATTTTAAGGCAGCGATGTCCCATTAATTAATACAATCCATTAGAAATTGAAGGCCTTAAGGACACTCACTAATCATCTTTTCAAAATAAAAGAGGCACTCATTGCATTGGAATGACCCTTTGGGAAAGTTCATTCATCATTATTATCTTCATTATATAATCATATCTCTAATGCCAAAATGTTCTCAAGGCACGATTAGATATGCCAGACAGTTTGTTAACCTTCCTAAGACGCATGACATTAAAATATATCATTAAATGAAGCACGGGATCGTTTGACTTGTGATTAAAGGTCAAGTGAACTTTATGTACAGATTTGCAGAGCAATACTTCAAGTCTTGATATAACATGATGTAATATAACACTAGTGCATTTTGTGACATTGAATTAATGTATTGCAAATGCCTATTCTACACCACAAGAGGGCAGCTTATGATGATATGCCCCAATTAGATGCCTCCTTTGAGCTAACATATGTAAGCAAATAATTAAAACTACTTGTTAGTTTGCATATATTGCGTGTGTTTTCACCAAGGGATTCGCTAGTTTTGTTTCCTGAAGTCTTTGGCTTCTGCCTCTTGTGTCTGCTGTCCATGAAGTGTAGCCTCTTCTGCGCTTCTGATCTTACTGAGACAGACAGAAGTGCATTAATAATCTCATTACTCAGTTGCATTTCTGATAATATTCAACACGTTGTAGACACATAATCTGTAGTGTTCTCTTGAAAGATGCACCATCCTCTGCTTACATAAGTTGCGTCAAGTGCAATCCTTTATTCAGTTTCTCTTCAGTAAACACTGAATATTTTTTTAACAAGGACCTCAGATCCTGTGTGTCACAACAAAAAAAGTTTTTGAAAGAACTGCTGAACCACATGTGCTGCTTGGGCACTGAGAAGGCCCAGGGCGCATTTTATTGGCTCAAAAACATACTTCACTAAAAGTGTTTCTTTGATAGTTCCTAAAACTTTTTTGATTCACGTTTTGATACACATGAAAATATCCTCCATGAAAAATTCTACATCCTTCTCTTAGAGACCCCATAAAACATAAGTGCAATCTTTCTTGCTTTAAAAAAGTAAAACTTTTACATATATACAGTATATACACCGGCAGGAATTGTAGGTGGGGGGAGTGAATGTACAGTGCTCTCTCCCACCTTCAATACCATGACTGAGGTGCCCTTGAGCAACGCACCGAACCCCCAACTGCTCCCCGGGCGCCGCAGCAAAAAATGGCTGCCCACTTCTCCGGGTGTGTGTTCACGTGTGTGTGTGTTCACTGCTGTGTGTGTGCGCTTTGGATGGGATAAATGCAGAGCACTAATTCCGAGTATGAGTCACCATACTTGGCCACATGTCACTTCACTTTCACTTTCATATACTGTATATATATAGCCTAATTTTTTTTTTATCTGTAAAAGTCTCCAAAAGTACAAGTATGGGGTGTCCTGGCCTTAAAATGACAGAAGGTCAGATAAAAGTATTAGATAATGATAAAACTGTACAGTCATTGTTCTGTTCTTTTTCTACGTCACAAAGCGAAAAACAAAACGTATCTACATAAACACAAACGTTCACAATGCAAGGCTACATCGATTCATTCGTCACTCGATTGCTTGAACTCGCATAGAATTTTCTGCGCAGATTACTAATGTCTGTTTAAAGATGGCGCCTTACATGAACTGAAGGGGCAAATGCGATATACAAATTAAAGGCGATTACTATATATAATCACAATGGTTTTAAAAAACATTTTTCGATCTACAGTGTTGGGCTTACGGACATGGAGTGTATTTGCAGGCGCGAGGCAGGGCAATACTGTCTTACCTGCCATCAAGCAGCCTCAATGCAGCTTTTTTGCGAACTGGACGTTAACCAGTATTTGTAAACGTAAGTATTATTTTTTTTGACATCCGAGCTCTGACTCCACGACTAATAGACTGCTTCAGCATGCTGTCTTATATGCACATATTCACAGACACGAGACTGTTATAGCCATTATGATATTGATGGGTCATCTCAACACTTATCCGCTTTTATTTTTAATTCGCAGACATAATTTAGTATTTTCTCTCAATTTGAGAATGAGTTTGTATTATGTTAGTCCATAGGGGTTTCTTATTATGGTTGTGTGTTTAAATTTTGTACAGCGTAATTTTCTACAGCGTAGTTTAGTGACAGTGTTAACCCCTAGGTGGCTCCAAAAGCTAGGTCACTGCATTTCCTGATTGAATAGGCATCAAATCGTCAGTTTTGTCATATGACCTTTATGTTTTGTCATGTCCACATACTTTTAAGCTGTAGATCTTATCCTATATGATCCTATAATAGCTGTCTATTTTCAAATTGTGTCATTCATCATTTGTTTGGAAAAAGCAACTTTCGTCAACTCGACTCTGTTACTCAGACATATTACCCTTTTTGTTAAAATCATCACTTTTATATACACTTTTTGGGGATAGCCATATCCAGTTTATTTCTATATCAAATAAAACATATTTTATACCGTTTTTCAATTATTGCAGCACTTAAGTATTAAAAAAAAGCAAATATGTCTAATTCGATGAATGGAGACAGATAAGTGCCATCTGGTGGACATAAATAAATTATTTATTTAAATTAGAATTTTTTTTTTATTAGTACATTTTATAATTTATGTATTTATGGTGGAAATAAATAAATAAATAAAATCACATGTAATGCCACTTGATACCTGTATATAGCCCCCCTCTCTCTGTCACTCTATATACAATAGACTGTATACTATACAGTTTTTTTGTATTTCTCATTCATTTCCTATTGTAGTAATCTTTGACCGAGAAGAACACGAGTGACCATTTTTAAGACCGTTGAGCCTTTTTTGAATCATGACAATTTTTTTGTGTGTGTGTTCTCATAGCAAGAACCAAAAACATCACCAAGTGTCATATCATTCCAATGAAGTAAAAACATGACTGAAGACCACTAGAGGGTTAAAACGAGAAAAAATAAATAAAAATGACAGATACGAGTTAAGAGAAGAAAAGCACAAGATGGTCGTCACTTATGTGTGAGTAAGTATCGATATGACTAAGTGTGAGTTATCATCCCAGCAATGTGAGAAAATTAACGATTGTGGGTCTAATTTGATGTTGCAGACTTGTTAGGGGGGCTGGTGCACATTTGCTATTTGAGTTATGGTTTGAATATCCCCCACAGTAATATTAATATTATCATTATCGGCTACTAATGCATCAATAATTAATTATTGTATGTTTTGCAAAAGCACTGCAATTATTTGCACTGCACATTTTGGTTTACCTGTAGTACTTGACTCATCCACATTATTGTTATTAATTCAATAATTAATTAATTAAGTCTTATTAGTGTACTTATGGGAGTATTGTTTTAGTTTAGTTCTGTACTTGTGTTCTTTGCTGACTTTTTTTTAGGTAGTTGTTGTTTCAAAAAAAATAACAAGCACTTAACAGTATGTCCTTGGCTAAATCAGCATGTGTTGTGTAGGATGACAGACAGGTTATGAAGTAGCTATACTCTTTATAGATCTTGATCTATGTTGTAACCCCTCTCTCCCGGGTCCTCACCGCCACAACTCATTCTCATTCCGAGTGGGTCTCGAATAGGGATATGCCGGTATCAAATTTTGATTAATTGCTAATGCTTTTATCACGGTATACGGTATTATCGCGGTATTGCAATTTAGTTTTAAAAAAGTGCTGTCATAATACAGTATAACAGGTTTAATAACTTTTTTCTTATAACAAAAATAACTGAACATTTAAATGCAATAAAGCAATACAGAAAAATTGATAAAGCTAAAAGTTTTACACAGATTAAAGTGCAAAAGAAGTATAAAGACCAATAAGGTATCCCATTACTTCTTATTACAATAAGACCTCATTAGTTAATGCATTAACATTCACAATGAGCAATAGCTACATTTGCTACAGAAGTTATTAATTATTAGTTATTAAGTCTTAGTTCATGTTAGCTCATTAAATAACACAGTTGCAACTTTCGATTTTAACAACGTGTTATTAAATATTGGAATACCTAAGATTAATTAATGTTCAGAAGAATTTTTCATTGGCAGTTTATGTTAACTAATGAATTAACTAATGTTAACTAATGAAGCCCTAATGTAAAGTGTGACCGAACAATAAAGAATCAAAACACTTTCAAACAATATCTAGGGTATGTTGTAGTCCAGATTAAAATGTAAAAAAAAGTTTGAAAATAAATAGCCTATTAAGTCTAAATATTAAGTATTTTGTGCTGTGATGAACATCATAGCAAATCTGCTGTCAGAGAGTGAAAGTGCGCTTTCATCCAGAGCGTCTCTCACATGTTCCACCATGTGCTTCTCGTCCGCGCTTGTACATCAGAGTGCGCATGCGTCTTTCAGGCAGCATACAGCAGTGTTGTGCATTTTGACCAGTTTATGGGAAAAATATTCTTAAAATGCATTCAAAATTCTGAATAACTTGTAATATATAATTATTCACGGTATTTAGAAGAGCCCAGGATAACAATATCGTGCATATTCATTACCGTGATATATCGCATTACCAAATACCGGCACAAGTCTAGTCTCGAACCTGGGTCTCTAGCGTGGGAGGCGGATGCATTAACAAGGAGGCCAAAGACTGCAGCCACTAGCGCGTCTCTTGAGATCAGGGGAGTGAGGTTTACCTGCACAGCAGCTACTCGCTGGCCTCCATTACACTCACCCCCCTGAACCTCACTCCCATCCGGGTCACGGCACCAATGTAACCCCTCTCTCCCGGGTCCTCACCGCCACGACTCGTTCTCGTTCCGAGTGGGTCTCGAACCCAGGTCTCCGGCGTGGGAGGGGGCCGCACTAACAAGGAGGCTAAAGACTGTAGCCACTAGCGTCAGTCGCTAGTGCGTCTCTTGAGATCAGGGGAGTGAGGTTTACCTGCACCGCACCTACTAGCTGGCCTCCGTTACATATGTTTCTGTTGTGGCTTTTTACTTTTATTTGTCCTTTTGCGGATGATTTCTTATTCAAAGTGACATACTGTACACTTACTACAGGGAAAGTCGCTCTGGAGTGAACTGCGGTCACTGCAGAGTGATGGCTTATGAGATATTCTTCTCTTTTTTTGTGATTTGAAACATATGGGTTATTGACCTAGATCTTTAATCACTGAGCTAGACCACCCCAATTATGAAAATGACAGCAGCACAACTGTTTTTATAATTTATAATAAAAATAAATATTTAGAAAGAAAAATAAGAATAATTTCTATTGTAAGAAATATTGTAATAATTTTTGAAGGATCATGTGACACTGAAGGCTAGAGTTTTTGTCAAAGCATCATACAGTATCTTTATTAAAGGGACAGTCCCGCAGAATATTGTGGTGTGTTGTTCATGGCCCCTTTTTGTAGCTCTCAAGAGAGGTTGCCGCCAGTATATTTCACTGGGGTTAGATCTCTATTTCCCGCGCATGTTTTATTGTTCTTGGGGCAAAAAATAATGTGTGGGGGGGGATGTGTTGAATTACCATTTCCCGCAAGACTTATGAACTATGAAGGAGTGGGTGTGTATACGGTTTAGGTTATTTAACACCCAAAAACATTTATTAGGCTAATTTGTGAAACCAGCTTTGAAGATTTTCCCATGCATTGAATTTATAACTCCCTCACATTTGCATAGAAATACAGCAGCAGACGTCTTAAGCATCAGCAAAAACATTTACCCATTGTTTTAGTGCCTGAAAGTCTTTTTCTTAGTAATCAGAGTTAACTACGTCACTGCTTTAGCCTTTCTTTGACACATACTAATTTAGTAGTACAAGTAGTACCATGCTTAACAGAGTATTTCACCCTGCAAAAATTCTGTCATCATTTACTCACCCTCATGTTGTTGTTCTAAACCTCTGTGGAACATATTTGCTCAGTGTTTTTTAGTCTATACGATGGAAGTCAACTGTTTGGTTAAGCAGAAGAAAGTCATTCAGGTCAGGTTTTGAATGATGAGGAAATTATTGATTTATTTTAGGCATATTTATTCAGTATTAACATGGCCAATGTACAGTATATATATAATGTATGTTATATTATGTTAATAAACATAATAATGATGACAGTAACTAATAGTGCTATTTACAAGTGTTAATGTAAGTGACTGACTGGATGAAGTCACATGTAAAGTTTTACAAGTAAAATCCAAAGAAAAGCACATGAAAAGGTTTCCATTTCATATTCATCTCTACTAACAAAACTTGATATGGCATCATTTCATTTGTTGGCTAAATGCATATCTGGCTGCAATACTACCATTTAACCATTAGGAGATAAAGAGGACGTGATCAGCTACAGATACAGTTTGCACTATCCCCAAGTTTACTTGCAAACCACTAAAGCTGATCATCTCTAAATAGAGCCCTTTTTCTTCATGGTTGGTCAATAAATGTCTAAAACAGATTTATTGTAGGCATTTGAAATTTGAGCAACTGCTTAAATTATATAGTAAATGTAAAACTGGGTGTTATGTTGGAATCCAGTGCTTTTCATTTTATAGTTACATGATATGACAGTGTAAGAACATTTTACAAGTTTGTCCTGTTTTATTTGGCTATGATGATTAAGATGAACTTTTTTTTTTTTTGACAAGAGGTATCATGACAGTCTCACAGACATTTTTATTTTTTTCCTTGAGTGGGTGTGCGGGAAGGATGTGGCCAACCAAATCACCCCCACCCTTGGTGACATTTTGTCACCATTGACGTGTATTAAATAGTCTGAGCTACAGAAGAGAGAGACTACGAAACTTTTTGACTATCAAATACACATTTAAACACCTCCTTATTAAAGCGTTCTGCATCATTAATAATTATAATTATTGAGGCGGACATGCAGTGATACAGCTTACATCAAATAAAAACAAAGTTCTCCTTGATTCTTGGGGCTCTGGGAATGTAGTTTATTAATTATGCATTATAATTTCAAGAGCTTGTAACACTCCAAAGAGAAAGGAAAAATTGAAATCGCATCATATGACCCCTTTAAGCAATTTTAAAGGGCCTCAGGCAATATATATATATGACTTTACTGTTTGTTTCAGGTGATGAAATCCTCCTAAACCAACCAGTGAGGCAGTATGCTCGGCCCTCTAGAAAGAAACAAGGTAAGAGAAAAAATGTAATCTCTACACACAATCAATTTGATAGCCAATTTTTCGCTCATTGGCTCATTGCTTTATTTTCTGAACCAGAATTCCCAAGTCAGCTTCAGGACCTGCATCCATCCATGCTGAAGCATGAATATGCATCTGTCCCACTTGCACAATCGTATGTTTTTGCATTGACCCACTCATCCATGTGTAAACATTATGATTGTATATTTGGGATTAGGAAGTACATGATTTCTTCAGACTTCCTTTACGTGCTTGAATGCAGAACGGTAGCAGTATTATGTATTATGTATCTTTGCAGGGTAGACGATGTGGTGAAGAAACTGCTTACGCTGGAGCTTGCAAATCATGTACGGGTTTTCATTTCCTTTTGATTCTTTATTTAATATTTTCAGAATTCAAAATAGGGTGGAATAAACTCAGCTGCTGTGCATTTATGGTAGCTTTTTATTTTGTAAGTCACGATTGACTTAAGAACTATAAAAAGATGTTAAATCATATTTTAATTTAATGATCTGTCATATTGTCTTTCTTTAGAGTGAAAAACTGCGTTTGAAAGAGGAACAGCTTATTGCCAAGGTGCGGAGGGATGAGAACGACCGCAGCTCAACAGAAGTCAAAGGCAAGTTCTCTTTTTTTTTTTTTAACAGTTGACAAAGTTACTGTTTTTTAACCATACTGGAATCTCAGAACTTGACTCAATCATGCGGAAATGTCCTTGTTTGCGTTACAGTGGCGATTTTGACAGCACGTATTCGCAACTTCCAGGAGCACTTGCACAAGCACCCTAAGGTAAACACAACTCTTCAGTAGCATGACTTTTTTGTCGGCCTTTAGTAAAGGTGTCAAAACTTTTGTTCCCACTCCACTTGATTAACACCCACAGAGAAACAGGATATCCTGTGCATATGCTCATGTGTTCAATAGTAATTGAATCATACACTATGTTAAGAAATTAATCGTTTTATTCAGCGAGGACACATTAAATTGATAAAAAGTCACAGTAAAGAATAATTTTGTTAAATGCTGTCCTTTTGAACTTTCTATTAATCATAGAATTCTGAAAAAAGTATATCAGTTTCTATAAAAATATTAATCAGCATGACTGTTTCCAACATTTATAATAATAATAGATGTTTCTTGAGCACCAAATCTGCATATTAGAATGATTTCTGTAGAAAAATTTGATATTGGAGACTGAAGTAATGGCTGCTAAAAATTCAGCTTTGCCTTCACAGGAATAAACTACATTTTAAAAAATAAAACAATTATTTTAAATTGTAATAATATTTCACAATATTATTGTTTTTATTATATTTTTGATCAAATAAATACAGCCTTGTTAAACATAAGAGACTTCTGTAAAAACATTTTAAAATCTTAATCAATAGTGTACAGTGTGCCCAAAATTTATTTTGAGACACACACACACACACACACACAACACTTTTAAAATAAAACACTTGTTATATATTGTTAAAATGAAGACAAACAATTTAGACATCTATTCTAGTCGTCTCTTTCTGGTAATCTTTCTTTAGCAAAAATGTTCATAGTTATTGTGATAAGCCTCTGTGACTACTCTGCTTGAAAAACTGAACTTGAGCGGAAATTACTTCATACCTCCCCCAAAATATTAACTTTGGACCAGTTGGTAAAACGTTTGCAAAATAGAAAATTGCACAAATAGATGAAATAGGGAAGTTACAGTAGTTGTGGGAAAAGCTTTAGAATCATTTGTTTGCAGATGTCACTTTTTCAAATAATGTTTAAATGTATAAATCATTGTATATTCTACTTTATATGAATAATTATAAACACATTCATGTCATAAAGCATAGCTTTCTGTTCCTAGTCCTGTTATTTAAAGGGATAATGATTTACTCACCTTTATGTTGTTCCAAACCGATCTTCAGAATACAAATAAAGAGATTTTTAATATTCTCTCATCATAAATATATCCATCCATTAAAAGTCTGTGCAAAAGCAATGGTGTCTCTTCAGAAGACTTGCACTAAACTGCTTGATTCATATGGATTACTTTTTAACGTGTCACAGTTTTGGTTGTGTGGGCTTTCAATGGATGGACAAAAAAGATGAGTCTTACAGATTTGGAACAACGTGGGTGAGTAAATGATGACAGAATTTTCATTTCAGAGAGACAAGTTAATGTGCAACAGCATCAAAACCTCTTCTGTTTCATTCCATCAGGATAAAGCCAACAAAAGATGGATGCTCATGGCCGTCGACAGGAGGAAGAAAAAGCTGAAGATTCTGAGAAGGACTCGTTATGATTCCTTCGAGAAGGTGTGTCAAGAGCTTGGAATCACATACACGTTCCCTCCTGAATATTATCGGCGGGTCACCCGACGTTGGCTGGCCAAAAAGGCCTTCTGCAATAAGGTAATGTTCTCAGCCCAGCTCAGCCAAAATGCCCCAATGTTTTTTTTGTAGATTTCATGGTTTGTTTCAGCTGTTGTTTACATTGTATTTTCTTCCCTTCAGGTCTTTCAAGAAGTCCAGAAACAAAAAGCAGAGCAGAGAGAGAAACAGAGAGCAGCGGAGGCTAAGGGAAAGGAGCCAGCATCCTCTACAGAACCACAAGGAACTGTGGCATAGTGATGTTCAGACAGCTGTCGATACTTGTGTGCTGACAAGTCCAGAAGAACAACCTGATACATCAACATTCAAAGAAAAATTAAACAGAAACATCATGCTCCACATCAAATTATCATCATTTATTTTGCCTTTCATTGATAAATCACTTATTTCTCTGAATGTTTTTTGGCTGCACCAAATAAAAGATCTTAAAATTCATTGTTTGGTCATCATTCCTCAAAATACTGATAATTATATCAGAATAACTTCACAGAAATACTTTGATGACATTAGTTTCACTCACTCACAGTGGTTGTGTGGCTATAGTGCAAATGGTTTGGTTGCTCTCAGTTCCCTGAACTCTGTTATTTTACAAGAAATGTGTGACAATCAGGTGAATGATCTGAGGTCAAACTATCAATTCTTTACTCGTGTGAGATTATATATTGATTGTTAAGAGTTCTGGTAGATTGCATTTCCTATTGCCTCTTTCAGACCTCCCCCTGTGATGTGCTTTGTGTGAAGCTTATATGCGTGAATCGGAAACGTTGCATACGAGAGTAGCAAACGCGGTGTGTTGGTGTGTGTCACAACTTCCTTTTCAGCTGCAAACCCCAGATCAAGAGGCTCAGAAGAACACGAGGTACTTTTTTGTAGTCTACTATTATATATTATGGTACATTTTCAGATTTGCTGTTTACGCTTTATTTTAAGGTGTCCTCGTTGCAGTGTAATTATACATTTAAGTACTGAGTAATATGAACTATTATAAGGTTAAGATTAGGAATAGGGTTTGGTTTAGGGTTACTTCCATGTAATTATGCATAATTAATTATTATTATAATAGTAAGTACATGTAATATGCGTAACAAGGACACCTTAAAATAAAGTGTTACCCATTTTTTAAAGATAAAAATTGCCTTAATCTCAAAGCTGTTTGTTTCATATATTGCATTATTATTATTAATCGGTTATTATACATGTTAGTGGTATACAGACTATAATTATCTGTTAAAATAAGTGTAAGTAGATCTGGTTCAAATGTTTTTTTTCCATGCATAGACAAAAACTATTTTTACACATCAAAATGTGTATAGGAATGTAAAATTTTCTGTCCTGTAAAACAAATTTTTAAAGGTACAGTTCACCAAAAAATTTAATTATTTACTAACCTTCATGAGTTTACAAACCTGTATGATTTTCTTTTTACAGTAGAACACAAAAGAAGATATTTTGAACAGTGTTTTAACTGTTTTTACCCATACACTAACAGTCAATGGAGTCAAAAATAATATTGGCTTTTATTGAACACTGACTTTCATTGTATGGACAAAAAAAAAAGAAAAAAAAAACACTGAAGGATTTGTATAAACATCTTTTCCTTATACAAATTAAATAATACAAATTTGGAACGAAATGTGGGAGAGTAAATTGTGATAGAATTTATTATGGGTAAATTATTCCTTTATTTGTACAAAAGACCCAAAAAGCAGAATGGAAAATATTATGAAATAGATATTTTTCTGTCTAAAATGATGATTAAATGTTAATTAGTAAGTGTTATTTTGTATAACAATTGATAGATATGCATTTGTCACTCTTCAAGGAAGGAAACCTCTCGAGCCATTTTCTCATCTTTGCCGGACTGCTCATTTTGACTGACATGTCAAACCCAGTCATCACTCAGCCCGGTGCTGGATCTTATGGTACAAATGTGCAGACTGGAGAGTGGAGCACCGGTCTTTGTTCTTGCTGCAGTGACCTATTTGTCTGTAAGTTCTGAGAGAAGTCAGCAAATCTTTTGAAGAACTTCAAAGATACCACTTCACTGGCATATTTTAGCTGTGGTTTAATATTTAGCCAAGGAGGACTCGTGACGTTAGTCAGTTTACTGCTTTTGTCAGTGGCATGTCGTCAACATAAAATGGATGATCTTTGAGCTATTTTCTGCATTTTTCCATTGTCTAGGTGCTCTTGGCTGTATCTGTCCGATAGCTCTCAGCTGTTACACAGCAAACAAGTACGGTGAAAATGTATGTCTAGCATGTGTACCTGGAGGAATGGCTGCAATGAGGACACACATGCGACTGACCTATGGAATACAGGTAATGTATACTACAAATTAAGGATTGGATTTCTCATATTGCGTATTTAAGAATTATTATTCATGCCATTTATTGCTGTCTCCACTTGTTTTGTACATACTGTATTACACAATGATATTCTTTTTTTCCCCCCTGCAGGGCACAATATGCAATGATGCTTTGATGACCTGTTGCTGTGGAATATTTGAAACATGTCGAATGACCAGAGAAATTCGTGTCAGGAATGGAGAGGCCTAGTTACTGTCTTTACTAATAACTGTTTCAGTCTTAAGATTTTTTTTCAAAATATTTTTTTAAAGCATTCAAATTCATTGAAATCAACACATCATTTATTACATTTCTCTTTATTGTTAAAGGCAGGAGAATTAAAACCAGGATAGAATTCATAAACATAAATTTTTTTGGAAATAAAAAGCGTGACCAATACTGTTTACTTGGTCAACAAAAAGTGTTACCTTACATTATTGCAGTTTAAAAGTCTTGAATTTGTGTAAATTCTTGTAATGTTCATTAATACATTGTATGTTTTGCTGTACAATTTTGCTGTAATGCTCAAAATGTGCCAACCTGCAGCATTAATATGTAACTGTACAGAAGCTGTGTGTCATATATTTAATAATCACCCAAGCACAGTACAGTGGAATTAATCATATAGCCTACCTAATCATATTAAATAAAACGACACAATTTTTACGCTATTTACTGATTACTGTTGATTCTAATACTTTTTTTGTTTTGTTTCACAAACGACCATAACAAATTATATGACTTCTTTCACATCACACATGAAATATATACGTTAAACGTACAAAAATGTTGCTTGTGTTACCTGCGCTGCGTCCGGAAGCTCTAAAATGCTCTAAAGCTCTAAAAATTCTTCTGATCGAATTTTGAAGGCAGCGTAGATGTATCGATCTATCCTTCGCTGCCTTTGATATCCCACATAGGGATGGGCGATACCCCTTATTTTGTTTTCGATACGATACCGATATTTTTCAAGGCAGTATCGTCGATATCGATACCGATTCGATACTTCTGCACTAAACTTTTAAATTATGACATTTATTAAATTATTAAATTACTAAGAGTAAAATGGGTAATGAAAACCACTTAACTTTGTTTAAAACGCATTTTAACCTGTTTAATCCCAAATTTTTCCCAGACATGAAAATATCCAAATGAAGTGTCATTAGTAACCCTTTGAAATAATCAATATTTTTTTTTTTGGAAAAGTGTGTGAACATTTTTATTTTATGGTCAGTCACAATTGTAACCGGTGGGATAATGTGTATACTGAATTAACATATTTCTGCAGTCTTAAAAATTGTTATATATCTTAGCCCAGCTATTTTAAACTGTTTTATCACATTCTAGGGTTACCTGCTCTCTGTGTTTGATTGGTTCTGTCTTGCAACATTTGCGTGTGTTCAGATGAGCAGGAAAATAGTTCTATCCTACACAATTACTCGCTAAGTTATTCGTCCAATTAAATGCATATTGTACGCATTATTATTATTATTATTTTTGTTAAATAAACAAAACCACTGGTAAATAAAACGCACCTTAGTATCGATATTTTTTGTTTGAGTATCGATACTTTCGATACTCGCGTCAGTATCGATATATCGATACTTCGGATCGATACCCACAATCCTTTGCGTTCCATTCCGTGACGGTTGGGATAAAAAAATAAAGATGGCGTCTGAAAGTTGTGTTTGGTGGTCAGTTTGTGTGTAAATATGTTTCTGATGAATGTTTTGCACTTTTGATGTTATTTCTAGCGAGAAATCAGTATTATAATAATTAAATATTTGTTTAGTTATCATCAAAACTCCTTCTATTTTGTTGTAGATCATTAAACCCTTACGCTGCCTCAGAAGCCTGTCCGAAATCAGTTTCATGAGGTGCCTTCGTGCAAAAACGCTGCCTGCAAAGTCATTGCCTCATACGGCAGCGAGGCAGCAAGTCAGCTGCCTAGGCTTTCGTACGCAGCCCTGATTTTCATGGCGAGACGACGCCATCGGCCAGCGAGGCAGCAAGTCAGCTGCCTAGGCTTTCGGACGCAGCCCTGATTTTCATGGCGAGACGACGCCATCGGCGCGCAGCAGTACGGGCGCCTCTGATTGGCTGTTGTTGGCGGTGACCTGGCAACCGAGAGAGGGTTTACAGACGCTTATTTATTCTGCAGGATTTCCAGAGAGCGCAGATCGCGTCTTTTTATTGACAACCTGTGATTGCTTCCCGATACTAGCTGCTCTTCATTCATCTCCAGAGAGGATGTCGACGCGAACGCTGCCTCTGCTCTTCATTAATCTGGGTGGAGAAATGCTCTACATCCTGGATCAGCGCCTGCGGGCTCAGAATATCCCAGCAGATAAAGCGAAGAAAGGTAGATGGCAGCTAATATGCCACGGAGCTGATGAATCAAGTCATATAAACGTTGTATTTATTATCATGGTTTATGATCTCTCTAAAGAAGCTGCTGGATTATCTGCTATTGCTGTGTATAATTAGCCAGTTAGCCTGTGTATTTGAATACAGTGGCCCACTTCAGTTACAGCCTTATGCAGGCAACGTTATGCCATTCTTTGCAGACAACAGTATTTAAGGCAAGACACTACAGACAGAAACATTGTTTTTTTTTTTTTTCATAACCTGGTCAATTTTGAGATTTTGGGCTTTCCATTATGTGTCGTTTCGGACTAGTGGAAGGAAAACATCCAAATCCAAATGTAGTGTTTATTTTATTCTACAATACATATTTTTAAAGCCGTTTTCTCAAATTGAGTTTTTTCTCATGAACTGAGCCAGAAATCTCTGTAGTTACATAGGCCTACTTAATACAGAATTTTGAATTTGGCTTTATACAGTGCTCAGATTTCTGTTCTGTAAATGTATGCAAAATAGTGCATTTGTAACGAATTAATACCTCATTTTCACATTCAAACATAACATTTCAGAAAATTAGTCATATAAATCAATCAACTGGGTATGGTGATATTTATTTATTAGTAAATTTTTTACCCTGTTCACTTGGCGTGTCTTACCTTAAATAAGCAAAACTATTTTAATTATGCGGTAGATTGTCCATCGAAACATATAGTTGACCCTTAAAAATATGAGTCATTGCATTAGAAATCAGATATAGTCAGTTAAATTACAGCACAAGCACACCTTTCTCACAAACATTTTACAGAAATTATTTTGTGGCTTTAAATAATAAAACATGTAATTCAAAATACACTGTACTGGTAATTTTCTGGCAGGACATTATCCATTAATATTACGTTAACCCTAAAACACAACCCAATGTAGTCGAACTTTAAATTAAAAGTGTAAAAAGTGTTTACTTTATAGTGTATGCTTTTATAGTGTAATATCAAAATGCAAGAAGTTTTGACCGTGGAGGTTGTCAGTACGTTCACACCTTGTAGTTTATAAAAACTGTCATGTCAAATGGACTGCATGTGTTCACTTCTGTTGCAGGCAACACTGTGGCTCAATTACATTTGCTCAACAGCTTGTCAGTATCATGGTTTCCTGTCTAATATACGTTCCTGTATCAGGGTTTCCTGTGTCTTTTTTGCATTCTGAAATATTCTTAATAAACTTAACTTTGCAGTTGTGCCGACATCACACTTTGGTATCAGATGCCACAGAGGTCAAAAAAACACATAATTAAGTTGCTTGCTGCTTGCAGACGTGATGTATATACATGTAGCTTATGCTGTACCTGCTCTTTAGTTAACTTCCTCCAAGGAACATTTTAAATATGTCCTTTTTGATTTGCAATCTTTGTAGCCACTGTAGCAGATTGGCTAGAGGAGGACAGAAAAAGAGGTATTGTTAACATTCTGCTTGCTTTGCTGCTGGCTGTAGAGCAAAGTAGCATGGTGTGCACATGCCAGCTCTCATAGGCACTCGCTGTGTAGAGGGAGATGGGGTTTCTGTGCTTTTCTAATTGTAATTTCACATGTTTTTGCGTGTAACAAAATACTATTGTAGAATGAGAACCCCAAAGATACAGTTATAGGCTCATACAGTTATTTTTTAGTACTGAGATATAAATGAAATCCTCCATATGGCAGTATATGTTTCTAGCACTTGTGTTTTCCGCAGTCAACAACATTTGACGACAGTTTTCAGCCCGCTTCTCTGTGAAAACATCTGCCAAGACAGTAAAGCTTGGTTTTTAAATACATTTTGATTTATGTTATTTTTGTTTATCTATCTTTCTTTGCAAAACAGCTTTCTACAGTACAGACTGCATTCTGGTTGCTTGGTTTTCAGCTTCATATTTGCATAGAACTGCTTTTGACTCACTACAACTCTCTCTCTTTCTCTGTGTTTGTGTTGTGATAGTTATGAATGATATCATTACCACCATGTTCAATAAGAAGTTCCTGGAGGAGCTGTTCAAACCACAGGAGCTGTACTCCAAGAAGGCCCTGAGGACAGTATTCGACCGACTGGCTCACGCCTCCATCATGAGACTCAACCAAGCTAGTATGGACAAGGTAAAGTCTAAAGTCAAAGATGAATTGCCATTTTCTTGAATGAATTGTTTGCTTTATCTTTTAGGGCAATCCTTGCTCATTTATCTAGTGAGAACCTTCTATAAATACCTCTGTATTAGTGGTAAACACATCAGGGTTTACGTTTGAAATGTGCCAGAGTTATAGAGTACTGTCTGTTCACCAATATTATTGCGTTTTGATCTTTACTTTAAAATTCTCATTAAATATTATCGGGTTATAATAAGCGAAATAGTGTTGAATGGCTCCCTCTGGTGTGTAATATGATGAAATATGTAATGACTACTTTTCTGTGCGCAGCTCTATGACTTAATGACCATGGCATTCAAGTATCAAGTCCTGCTGTGTCCTCGCCCTAAAGACATCCTCCTTGTGTCCTTTAACCACATGGATGCCATCAGGGACTTTGTGAAAGACACTCCCAGCATCCTCAGCCAAGTGGATGAAACAAACAAGCAACTCGTAGAGGTAGCAAGGTCTCTTCAATTTCTGTGTAAAGGCGCTATTACTCAGTATTTTTTATTCGGTTTATTTTCAATTGTTTAATATAATTAACCATTTTTTTTCATTGTCAGTAACTGTTAATGTAATATTATTTCATATTGGTATTATTATTTATTATTACATATTTTCCATTGATGGATATTTAATAATATTATATAATGTTATATAAATATTAATATTATTACATAATTGTCAGCTTTGAAAGTGTATTTTGCTTGTAACTCCTAGATCTATACACCTTTATCTGGTGGAGAGTTTCAACTAATTAGACAGACACTCCTCATCTTCTTTCAAGATATGCATATAAGAGTAAGTCTTTTCTCTATTTTGATATATTCAATTCAATTCAATTGAATTTTGATATATGTACATTAATACGGAATACTCAAAAACCCAATATGTAAATTTAAAGTCTAAAAGTATTGGTCATGTTGATGAAGGGGCAGAAAAGCCATATATTTAAATATGATATTAAATATTAAACTTGTTTTTTTTTTAGGTATCAATTTTTCTGAAAGACAAAGTACAAAACTCCAATGGGCGATTTGTTCTCCCCACATCAGGCCCAGTTCCGTATGGGACGCACACCCCAGGACTCATAAGGTTAGCAGGATAGGATTCTGCTTCTGTTCCTTGAGTTAATGCAGCAAAAACACATTTTTGCATTGAAATGGCTGAGAACAGCAGGATGTAGTTTGAACATTATAAATAAATAGTCTCTTATTCATAGTTGTGCATTGTGCATATGTTTTTTCCTAAATCACCTCCTTCATTTAGAACTGACAGAGTCTGACAGTAAGGGTTTATAGTTAATTGCATTATCGAGAGACTTGGACATTTTCTAAATATAGCAGGGTCTGTGTTTAGACTGTGACAGAAAGCAGTTATTTTAATAGAGGTTAGTGATAGTTGGCATATGAGATGTCCATGAACTAATTTGTATCAACATCAATATTTAGATACAATTTTTAATGAATTTATAATATGTATAATATATCCAGGTTCTGTAATTGGTTACCATCTTTTAAGCTATCCTTTTTAATCAACAAATACATTTTAAAAGTACAAATATTGCATCTCGAACTTTATTTCAACATAAGGTCAGAAAACTTTGTGTATAATAATTATTAATGTTTTCTAAAAGTATTATATAATTTCTTACTAGAAAGGCTGTAAAATGGTTGATTTGATTTTTTTATGATTTATTATTTTTTCATGAGTCTTGTTTATTTCCCAGAATGTTTAGCTGTAGTGGTGAGGAGGTGAGAAGGATGCAGTTCCGTGACGGTGGCAATTACTGCGGCGCTCTCCGTGAGGGTTCTTTTGAAATGTATGGTGATCGAGTCATCAAACTGGGCACAAACATGTGAGCACCTTCTAATAATACTCACTTCTACTAATAATCAGTAGTGGAATCATATGACTCTCACCTTCTGTGTATCTTCAGATACAGGGGTGTAATTCATCACATCTTAGGGTTTATCTGTTGCAAAGCGCCATCTCTAATTGATATGTGAATAATTTAGCTGCAAACCTGAGACAGGTAGCCTTTCACTCGAGCATCAGCTGTACAATTGTCCTGTTTGTTCTTTTAGGTACAGTGTGAGCCGCCCTGTTGAGACACACATTTCTGGAACCTCCAAAAACTCCTCACAGCACACCAAGGTAGGATTATGAATTGATTATACTTTGTTGGTTTATATTTAAAAAGAAAAAAAATATATAGTTGGCATTGATAAACTGTATCCTTTCCATATATGCAGGTCGCTTGATCATAAAAACTTATGGTAAAAAAAAAAAAGGTTGAAAATGTGTAACACTAATGTAATATTTGACAAAATTCATACACTTCTGAAGGTCAACACAACTCCGAATCCTTTGGCAAAAGAAGAGCTGAACCTGCTTGCTAGACTAATGGGAGGTCTGGAGGTGCGGAAATCAGCTAACACTGACTCTGGCTTCCGTGTCAACCTTTTTGCCACTGACGAGGAGGAAGAGTGAGTCTTTTTTGAATTTTGATACTTTTTCAGTATTATTGTGCGTCTCGCTGAAACAAGGAGCGGTATTTCACCCCAAAATAAAAGCAAAATGATACCATTGTTGAAAGCATATGTGTAGACATTTGATTTTTCAATTATTCTTATTATTCTCATTATTGATTCTCATTATATTCTGATAACTAATTCAGTATTTTTTTTAAGTAAATTGGTTTTAGCAATGAATATATTACTGTTTGTGTACGATTTCTTTTTTTAATAATACTTTTTTTCAGCAAGGATGTGGTTCCACAAAACATTAAGCAACACAGCTGTTTTAAACATTGATAATAATAAGAAATGTTTATTGAGTGGCAAATCAGCAAATTATAATGATTTCTGAAGGATCTTGTGACACTGAAGACTGGAGTAATGGCTGCTGAAAATTCAGTGTTGTAAAGTATATTAAAACAGAAAACATTTATTTTATATATTGTAATAATATTTCACAATTAATTAATATTAATATTTTACTGTATTTTTGATCAAATAAATGCATGCGTGGTCAGAATAAGAGACTTGTTTTTATTTAAAAAAACATGATTTTAAAAACCTTAATTATTCCAAACCTTTGACCGACAGTGTAAATATGCAGTTTAATAGATCTGAGTATACGTATATAACAAAAAAATAGGCTTTTAATACATTTTCTTCATGCAAAATATAATGTATTACTTTTTATTGTGGAGTAAAATGTGACCCTGCTATGTTCTTGACAGGTTTTGTGAGTCACACATCACTGTATGAAGAAAGTGCAGCTAGACATATCAGTGAAATGGATGCTGTTTGTTTTGCATGAGATTTCATACAAATATTAAAACACAGATTATCCCCACAGGGAAGCTTTGATAGCAAGACCAGATGAGCTTTCCTATGAAGTTATTAAGATCCAGGCAACAAAGGTAATGCTGAATGTTTGTATGCTTGTACAGTAATACACTTAGGTTGTTTCAGCACAAATGCTGTTTGATCCTTGGCCTCAGAAAACATTGTAATGCCTGATTACCAGTGATCCACCCACACTGAGAAGAAGCTCTCAGCTTGTCTAATTGGTTTTTGACAGACTAAAGATTTTGAGTCTTAAGTTAACTTAAAAGTACCAGAGGACCATGGGAGTAACAATATACCTCTGACTGGCTCATTTCAGGACAAACAGACCAATGCAGAGCTGGCTAAGATCATGGGGGAGTTTGGAGAGACGGGAGAACCCGCCCCCAGTTCCAGCAGCAAGGGTGACGACCTCCTGGCCATGATGGATGGGCTGTGACTTAAACTTGATGTTCCCTTTGACTGAGCAGAGTGACTGAGCTGTTAAGCAGGATAAAGTGCTACAATGTCTTACTCAGCAAAGAGGCCTTTTGTCTGGAGCTACAGTGACAACCGTATATATTTAGAACGACAGCTAAGCTCAACAAGAAAGTCTCTCTTTGAGAATTTCACACATTTTTTGTCTCCTGCCACCCACCAAATGTGAGAAATGCAAATAGCAGGTGTAGAAATGTACTATGCGTCTTGCTGTGGGACCATATTCATTTTTTCATATTCATTCTGTGAAGTTACTTTGGAGGTGGCACAGGCCATATCATCACGTATTTCAGCGAATGGTTTGATATCAGTCTTCACAGAAACGTCTGCGAGGCTTTGATGTCACAGACATTTCTGTGACATTTAGATCAGTGGACAGAATAAAATGCCTTTTCTGGACTGTCTTGTCTAGGACAATCCGTGCACATGGAATTCATTTAAATCTGTTTGATGTGCAACCGAGAGTGCACTTGCAGTAAATATTTAGTGCAGATCCCAAAACTGGTTTACAGGAAGCCCCGGGACAATTGATGTGTGTATGTTTTTGTCTTTATTTAAAGGGAGTGCAACAAAGTCAGGTATTTCAAGCTCAAGAATTAAAATGTCTTAAATTGTTGCATTATGTAAAGGGACAATGTATATATGAAACCACCTTCCATGGAAAGAAAGCAATGCAATATGTATGGTGGATGAATTTGTTTATTTTTCATAACCATAATAGAGCTTATTTATTGAGGTTAATGTACTGAATGTTCATTTGTGTCTGTTTACGGTTATATTAAAATAGATTTGAATGTGAAGTAAAGTAGATCGTTTTGCAAACAATGACTGGTCAATATACCAAAGTTGCATGTTTGTTTTAAAATAATACTTTCTTGTTAAAGTAATAGTTCACACAAAAATGCAAATTTGCTCACTCTCAGGCCAGCAAACATGTAGCCTAGATGAGTTTGTTTCTTCACTGGATACACTGGAGAAATTTAGCATTACATCACTTGCTCACCAATGGATGAATGGGTGCCGTCAGAATGAGAGTCCAAACAGCTGATAAAACTTCACAAGTAATCCACACAACTTCAGGCCATCAATTAATGTTGTGAAGTGAAAAGCTGTGATTTTAAGAAACAAGTCCATCACTAAGGCATTTTAATTTTAAACCGTCGCTTCTGGCCAAAATTTGAGTCCATAGTCCATAATTATAAGTGCTAATAAACAGTGTTTGATTTGCACATATTTTTCTTTTGTTTCCGACAAGACGTCTTTTTAACTGGATAGGCAATAGGCCTATTATGATAGAGGATAATACTTGTGGATTATTGTGATGTTTATATTAGATGTTTCGACGTTTCAAATCGTTTTCAAAGAAGAAACAAACTCATCTACATCTTGGATAGCCTGAGGTGAGTAAATTTGAAGGGAATTTTTATTTTTGGCTAAACTATTCCTTTGAGGTAAACAGAAAATCGTACATTCGTTCTTACATTCAAAGATGAAGTTACACAAAATCAAATAGGTTAGTGCTTCTTTGTGAACACTAGATGGCGCAATGGAATAATGCAGCGTTGTTGACATCTTAGGAACAGAAAACTTTTTTTCACAGAACAAAGATTTACATTTTTTCACAAATGTAATGTTTTTTTTTATTATTATTACAGAAATTAATATAGAAATAGTCACTAAGAAGTAGTCACTTCAATGTAAGCTTGTGACATTTGATACGCTAGAGTTTTAGTGTGCACATTTAAACATTTTGAACTCCCAGCACAGAATTTTGTAATAGGCCTAAATCGGACTGTGGTTTTATGTGAAGGGGATGTAAACTTTATGAAAAGAAGCTCCTGTTAGTGCATTTTACCCCTAACTCTCCAAGTCTCTCTATGGCAAATGCTGTTTAAGCATTTGATCTGTTATGACTTTTCCAGACAAGTAATACTGAAAACCCCTGTGTTCATTTGAATAGTCGTGGGAGACGAATCTCTCACCCACACAGTTATGAATGAATTGCTGTCACAGTTGTTCCTCCATGGGAAAAAGCTTCTAATATTCATTACCTGTGCTTTTTTGACTCCCACGGCAAAATATTTTGACATGATGTGACTGTGCACTGCTGCATTTCTGGGACACTTGTACTTCCAGAATATTCATCGTGAATATTATTAAAAACAAAAAAAAACCCAAAGTTAATTTATTTTAATTCAAGTCATGTCACCTACACTGCAAAAATAAATATGATAATACTTGATAAATATGTAAATAATATTAAAATCTGAAAACCCCTGTGTTCATTTGAATAGTCGTGGGAGACGAATCTCTCACCCACACAGTTATGAATGAATTGCTGTCACAGTTGTTCCTCCATGGGAAAAAGCTTCTAATATTCATTACCTGTGCTTTTTTGACTCCCACGGCAAAATATTTTGACATGATGTGACTGTGCACTGCTGCATTTCTGGGACACTTGTACTTCCAGAATATTCATCGTGAATATTATTAAAAACAAAAAAAAAACCCAAAGTTAATTTATTTTAATTCAAGTCATGTCACCTACACTGCAAAAATAAATATGATAATACTTAATAAATATGTAAATAATATTAAAATAAAACAAATACAATTATAGATTATATTAATTTAGAAATGAATTATAAATTATAGGCCTATTTTATTTTTTTTAACTGATGGCTTTCATATTTATTGACCTGGGTACAATCATTTTGGACACATGTCAGACCTCAGCACATTTTCGAATAATATTTTTTATTATTTTATTTTTATTTAAAAAAAATATTTTTTACTAGCGTAAAACTAGTGAATGATTTATTATTTCTTGGCAATATTGTGGAAATAAAATACACAATCTTATTTTGAGAAACTGGCAGAAGGTTCACAAAAAGCCTCCATTTTATACAAAATGCACAAAAAATATAAGCACAACATTATATTTTCTTCATAATTTGTGATTTTGCAGGATAAAACTATAGTAATATTTTAATAATGACGCAAATAACTTAATTTTTATGTTTTAAATATTGTTATTCCAGTACAACACTTATTCCATGCAAGAACAAGAGATGGTTATTTGAAGGAAAGTAAAGGAATAAAGGTAATGAGACAGACTATAAATGCTAAATCCAGACGTTATAGTAAGGAGTGTGCTCGTGAAATTGTCCTTGCAGTCTTTCTCAAATTCCACTGCTTCTTTATCAGACATGGGCACTATAAAGTATGATTCACAGTTTCCACCCCACACACTGTGGGTTGGCCAATGTTTAGCCACAGGCTTATAAAAGTGTTTCATGTGGTTTAAGGCAAAGGCCATGCTGAGTTAAGACAGGAAGACAGCACAGCGTTAAATCAGTTACTGCCCTTTAAAACACTCTCTGTTTGACATGCAGCTCTGCATCAGCCCACTGAATTGAAACTTGATGTTGTGGGTGAAGCCGGTTAGTTTTGGGGGATCTAAAATTGGATACGATATCGAGGGTCTTGTGAATGCAAGAAACCCCAGAGGTTTGCTGTACTCGCATGAACAGAGGTAGATTATTATTTATCTATTTACCCTTTAGGCTTGGATGCAATCGATGTGTCATGTTTATTTCACCTGGCACTGATTCTTGAGACACGTATCTGCGTTTCTTAAAGTGACTAAATTTCCACTATTAAATGAATTAAACATTATTTCTAGAATGTTCTTAAGACAAATGCAACATATATTTATTGATTCTCTTCATTTTAGCAAAATGATGACATAACTCATAACCTTTAAAACCACATGTCCTCATATCTCAAAACTTTATTATATTAATACACATGCATATTTGTAAGAAACATTGCTATGATGGAGCTGAAAACTATTTTCACTCATTAATTGCTAGTAAATTTCAAAAATAATTAGAAAGAAGCAGCAAGTTATATATTGATATTTTCTGGTACAAACATTTATTATGAATATTTGACACATTATATTGTTTCTGGCAGCTGTTGACACTGATCTATATAATTATTATTATAGATAGCATTAACTATTATAGACCAGTGCTGCTGACCCATAATGCGTGATGATAGGCAAAAACAAACATGTGAGGAATGGAAGAAGCCAGAGTTTGCACGACAATGTATTGTAAAACTCTTCAGATTACTCTAAATAATTTTTTACATACATAAAGTTTTTTTTGTTCCAAGTAGCTACTCAAGAATAAATGTGTATATCAAGTTTTGTTAGTAATGCTTAATAAGAGTCAGGTTTTATTACTTAATTCCGTGTATGGCGATTAATTTCTTTTTTTTTTAAAACAAAACTCTACATTTGTCAAAACTTGACTGGAGTTATGCAGTAGTACTCTACTGCTCACTTACATAGTGCGTACGTTTATCATTCCACACTAGCGAAGAATGCCAATCTCAAGAACGCACGTAAGGGGGCGGGAACACCAAACAACGTTTTCTATTGGCCTCGCCGCTCCGTCACTCACAGCATGTGCGTCATTTCCGTTGTCAGGTGGTGCTGCTATGAAAAGATGTGATCAGTTGTCCTAAGAAGGCTTTTCCCTCAAAACCCCTGTCGGTAAACGCAAAATTTCTCCAGTTCGCTTGAAACAAACCTCTTCGTGGTGGAGTGTAAATGTCGGTGCACCACTGCTGAACATTTAATCGGCCAGAAATGAGTGGGAATTAGTGTACGACAGAGGATTCCCTCGGCGGTTTTGGTAAGTTGTTAAATGGCCCGTCGGTCGGCTGAGGAGATTTTCACAGTCCGTTAAAGGGACACGGTGAACTCATTGGCTGTCTGGTCTTTAATTTCATCCTTAAATTCAGATAAACGCGCTTTTGCAACGATTAAATTGTCGTCTTTTTAAACATGTTGCGATATAGACTATATAAGCAAGAATACAAAGTAAAAATAAGCAAGTTTCGCTTGCAAATGCTAGACGACTCGAGTAGGCTCGTTGTATTAATATGAACGTGAGCTTTATTTTCTTACACGCGCTTATTTAAGTCATTTACATTAGTGGTTATTGTTATAATGTTACTTGTAGCTGGTTGACAGCGTTCGTCAGAGTACGCCGTGTACTCGGTTGTGATCACATCACATCGCAGTGCTCCTGTCTCTATTCCCTCTGCTGTCGTTTTAACTATAAATGGAAACATTAGTCACTTGTTTTTACACACCACAAATCTTAGACATCCAAATATCAAACAAAACGTGTGCAAAAATGCACATCTGATACGGGTTGCATCAAGCTGCCAGTCGGTGCTCGGAGGTTGCCAGGTTCTCAAGTTTGCAATGCATGCAGTGACAGCTAGTATATTTAGATCTAATAAAATATTAAAATGTTCTGCTGCTGTGTGGATCAGAGCGTTTAAATCATGCAGGGATGATATTTCACTTCTCTGATGACTGTGATGTGTGTATAATGCCATAAGATGACCACACTGCATCCATTCAGTCTGATGAATTCAAAGCAGTATGAGTAATCCTTCATATAGTATGATTTCATCAGCATTATGCCATGTTGTTGTTATTAAAGGGATGGTTCACCAAAAACCGAAGGTTTGTTCATCATTTAATTATGTTTTTACAAACCTCTGTGATGTGTATTAGTTCAGTGGAACACAAAAGATGATGTTAGTATTAGAGACTAACAGCCTTCCATTCACTTACATTCATTTTTTCCCAAATGCAATGAAAGCAAATGCTGACTGAGACCGTCTAGCATCTCCTTTTGTGTTCCACAGAAAAACATCATGTTTGAAACAACAGGAGGGTGAGTGAGTAGGCCTAACTAATGACAGTTTTCTGTTTACTGATGTTTGCTTCTTGAGAATTCCATTCAGTAGCTCTGAATTGGATTCAAGATTGTAAGCATACGTGCATCTTGCTGTCAGTGAGATCATTTAAACTGCATTGAGGTCTGGCATGACCTAAAATTATTACAGATGGTTTAATACCAACCGTGATGTCTTTCGTTTCCTTTGAGGTTGCAGGTCACATTCTCAGCCTTGGTTGTGCCAATGCACAGACACGCTCTTTGCAACAAGCCGTGGTGCTTTAAAGATGTCAGATCTCCAATAATGCATGTCAAAAGTGTTGATGAAAGCAGTCACGTCTCTCACCCCCGTCTGTCACATTGTCAACAGTCTGGGTCCAGAAAGACAAAAAGCTGTAAACGTGTGAAATGATCTGCGGTAACTGCCAACTGTACCCCCTCCTACGTCCTCGAGACAAGCTGTGTGATCTGTTGCAGAATTACATTTGAATGTCTGTTTCATTCAAAATTACAATGCGACCAAGCTTATAGCTTAAATGTGAATCACAACTGTCTGTAATTCAAAATTCAGATGCTATTTTAGTTCTACTTCATATGTATTTGCTATTAGAGCACATTGATTGTCATTTTATCAATGCGATTTCATGCCCAGTCTCTGCATTGTGCCTTCATTTAAACAGAGTTGAGATTGATTTTGAAGAGCCCAAGGGGTGCAGAACTGTCCGCGATGCTAAATGCGCTCTCCCACCCCCCCGCTCGCATCGTGATATGATGTCTAGAGGCTGCGTGTGTCACGCTACCATTGGTGTCAAACAGCAGCATTTCTTATTTCTGACAAATTGCTACCAGTGCAAACCCCAGGGCTTGTGTGAATCACGCTGTATCCGTCCGTAGCACCACTTGCCTTTCTGTAGAACCACAGAAGCGATCATCAGATTATACAAGAACCCAATAAAACAAGCAGGCTTTCCTCTGAAAGAAGTCTTTTATTCTGAATGTTTGACCATAATTAATGCACTGCTTGTGATATCGGAATGTTTTTGCTTTCGAAATGTTCCTTGATGCAGACCGGTCAGTATTGCAATCTTGTAATATGCAGATTACGCCACAGAGATTTGCAGATAAACCCATGCAGATTAAGGAACGGAAGGATTACAACTAGTGAAAGGGGAAAAACAGGAATTGCAGCAGCAGAGTTCAAGATTCATGGGTTATTTTAGTCAATTTGAGATCCGTCGGTGCTGAACGTTTTCCTTTCTCGGGCGCGTTGTGGTCAGCGGCGCCATTTGTGAATGGGCTTCTATCGTCTAACACGGAAGTCACATCAACAGTTCACACCTGCTGCTAATCTTTGCTCATGCAAATGCATATGGACCTGATGGGTTGTCATTCATACGGGGTAGAGCTGTTAATGGCATCTGACTGTTTTGAGGTGTCGGGGAGGGCATGAATTCTGCTAGATCTCCTTCCCCCACCTGTTATTTGCCCTCTTTAGAACTCACACTTTGTCGATGGTGTACTGAAAGACCTCATTGGATTGGCTATTGTTTCTCAAGGCAAGAATTTAATGAGTGTCATAGGGTTGCTTTGTTTGGATGCCTTGGCGATTTGATTTTAGTCAAGAATTCACATTTCTCTGGTTGCATGTAAGGTTGTTTTATGAATCGAGTATTGACACTTTCTCAACTCTTTTTCAGATCTGCAGAATGTCTAAACGCCGTGCGTCGGAACGAGGGGCCGGAGAGTCATCCGGCAGACCCAGCAAGCTCCTTTGTCCTGGGATATCTGGCAACAATGCTAAGAGAGCCGGTCCCTTTGTTTTAGGTAAGCTGCCTAGCGTATTGCAAGTGAATCTTCAACACTAGCCCTATCTTTTTGTGTTTCTATGCAGGCGAGAGGAGGAGGGGGTATAGGCTCCGTTCAGAGTCCTCTGTTTGAAAAGAATTGCAGGAATGTTTTAGATTGACGGCTTCACTTCTGAATCTGCAGGTCTTTTCCTGTATGCCACTATCATCTTGCCTTTGAAATGCACCCATCACAGTTGGAAATAGCAGTGTGACGTAGTAGTGCAGGGCGCTGTGATAAGAGTGTTTATGATTGGCCTCAAGGGGAATTGCTGTGCTCTGTACTGACTATACCTTTTGCATCTGTTTACACTTCTTTTATTTATTCCTCTCCATCTTAACAGGTCCACGGCTGGGAAACTCTCCCGTGCAGAGTATAGTGCAGTGTCTAGCCAGAAAGGATGGGACGGATGATTTCTACCAGCTAAAAGTGAGTGGTTATTCTCACCTAGTCTGCATATATTTGATCATAAATACAGTAAAAACTGTAATATTGTGAAACATTATTAAAATTTTTAGTATTACAATAACTGTTAACCGTTTTAATATTTTAAATAGTTTATGATGGATTCAGTGAAGGATCAGTCAGACTTCTTTCTGAAGATCTTGATAAATTGAAAAAAATAAATAATTGTTTTTACCCAGCCCTACAACATTTTTGTCCCTGTTTAGATATTTATTGGGTTTCAGATCAGACGAAATGGCTTTTAAAACCAGATGTGAGGTGATACAGAAAGACACAATTTACAAAAAACCCTCCCATGTGATTCAAACATGTCCTGGCCAGGGAAGTGAGACTGCTTCTGAACACAAAAGCCCCTGTGTGTCTCACTGTTTGCATGAACCTTTGACCTGCCACAACAAATCTCCACAATACTGTCCAATTCATGACCGACTCTGGTTCAGAGATGACCATCAAACCTCTTTGTTTATGGACCAGCCTGTTACTGGAGGGGCTTCACTGAAAGGTGCTTGTCAACCTAGAGTCTAACCTTTTGACCCCACTCTTCCATGCCCCTGAGTCTAGTGTCCCTCAGATGGTTGTCCAGATGTGTTGAAGGACATGTGAGGGACTTATCTTTGTCCCCTCTGTAGATAAAGCCTTTAATGGACCCTCTGTATTGCCTCAAGATCATTGATGGCTTAGTATGCCATCACAGTGAAGATAAGAGACTCCCAGGAAGGTTTAGAACAGGATCTAGTGGTTTGGTGTCTTCTTACCTTCGACCTTTGTCGTAGATTCTCACCCTGGAAGAACGTGGAGACACAGCAGGAGAGACACAGGAAGAAAGGCAAGGGAAAATGCTCCTGCATACAGAGTATTCTTTACTGTCACTGCTCTCCAACCAAGAAGGAGTGGTGCACCATCACGGCCTCTTCCAGGTAAGACCAATGCTTCATGATTCTTTCTCAAATAGTTTTGGTTTGAGCCGCACAAATTCATAGTTTGGTTTGGTTACACGCATTCTTCAAAATATCTTTTTTTGTGTTCAGCAGAATAAAGAAACTCATACAGGCTTGGAACAACTTGAATTAGGGATGCACAGTATCGGTATCGGGCCCGATACTGGTCTCCTGTACTCGTACTCGTACTCGTTAAAATGCCCCGATACCAAACGCCGATACCACACAGCATGTGATAAGCGCCATATTCAAACAAAGAAACACCAACAACAGACAGCAGAAAGGAGTTAAGGATGTCTACTACGTTGGTATCGGTACTCGGTATCGGCAAGTACCAAAAATAAAAGTATTGGTATCGGGCGAATACTGGAAAAAGTGGTATCGGTGCATCCCTAACTTGAATGTTTCGGTCTAATGTAGAATTTCATTTTTGCATCTTATATCCATTAATTCTGTTTTTATTAGCTGATCAGAGTACACATCTGTCCACAAACCACCTTTCGAAATTGAAATGCACAAAGACTTGTTTTGGAATCTGGCTGTGCCTTTTTGAATCAAAATGCAATCGATTTGAGAGATGCCTAAAGATTCCCTCCCAGACTGTACGTTCTCAGTCCCACGACTTAATTTGTTTCTTCATTGTTCCATCAGTTGTTTTCAATTTCATCACAAAGTGCTCGCAGTGACTCACCACTTACTTTCAATTTGAGCAAGACGCTTTCTTTTTTCTCTTGCTCCTGTTTTTCAACTATATCTAGACCTCTCCTTTCTTCCCCGGTGGAAATGGGCTGCAGAACAAGCCGTACTGTGCTGTCAGGGCCATTCATTGAAGCTCACAGTATTGATTGGTTTATTATAGCTTCTCTCTAGAGTGGGCCAGTTAATTATGGATCGCTTCTTGTGTTTGAAGGCGCAGTCATTGCAAACACAAACCACACTGCCAATCGATTCATGGCCCTCATTTGACCCCAGTCTCAGGTGACTGAAGGAGGGCTTTCATCATTCAAGCTGTTGCACTTGGCGAGGCATACAGGAGAGTCGCTGCTGTGCTTTTTGTACCAGCAATCCATTAGCGTCATCTTGTTCTTTAAACCCTGTATTTTCTTCTTTCGCTCCATTCAAAAGCTTAATGGTGCAGTTATGTGTTCGTTTGCTTTGTTACACATTGTTAAATGCACTGCTGGGTTGTCTGAGTTAAAGTATTTTATGCTGTCCCTTTATTCTCTGCGCAAATTATTCTCTGCACAAAACTTTTCTAACCCATTATCTCTTCCACTTCTCCATCTCAGGACCGCTCCTGTGAGATTGTCGAGGACATGGAGGCCAACAAAGTGCGGAAGATGAAGAGACGAATCTGTCTGGTGCTTGACTGCCTCTGTGCCCACGACTTCAGCGACAAGACGGCCGACCTCATCAACCTGCAGCATTACGTCATCAAAGAGAAGCGACTGAGCGAACGCGAGGCCATCGTTATTTTCTATGATGTGGTGAGAGTGGTGGAGGCATTGCATAAGGTGAGAATTTTTTTACAATTTTAATTCATAAAAAACTTTCTTAATGGCGCTAGAAATGCCAAAGTCAGGAGTTTGTTTTCCAAGGAATGCAGGAACTGATAAAATATCAAGTTGTTTTCTAGTAATTTTCTAAGTTTCTAGTCATTTTGTTATGTTTTTGTCATTTTTTTCAATATTTCTGTGTAGATTTATTTCACTTTTATTTCAGGTTTAGTTTGACTAATTTTAGTACTTCAACTTAAATGTTTATTTCAGTTAGTTGCCATGGCAACATTTTCTAATTTTCATTTGTTTTTCATGTAATATTTGTTTTATTTCAGCTTTATTTCAATCACCAAAAACATTTTTAGTAGTTTTAGTTAACAAAAACACTTGAATGTAATGTCAGTCACTTTGGATTCATTTTTACATTTTTTATTTAATTTTTGGCTGATTGCTACCAAACTCCTTCACTTCCAACTACCTGCTGTGGTTTCCCCTTGATAAAATGAAGTCATGCTATTTTTTTCTAATTGAATATTTTGCTTTATTTGGAAGTTTGTCATATTCCAGAAGTAACATGGTTGCACATGACATTTTATGTTTACTGTGTGATTCATACTCTCGAAAGTGTAGCCCATATCTTTAGGTAAATATAGTAACTGTTCATTTTTTTTTCCTTTGTAGAAGAACATCGTGCATAGAGACTTGAAGCTTGGAAACATGGTGCTTAATAAAAGGTAAGGCTCCTCTCACGGGTGATGAAACCGCACATGCTGGCTTGAAGGCATCTGAGGTCGGCAAGCATTGTGAATCGGATAGGCCTAGTGGAATTCCCAATCCCTCATCCATAAAGACCCTCTCCAAACACCATATGCGCCGTGTGCGTTTGTGTGTTTTCTGCTGTGTGTGTGGAACGGGTACACTTCTAACCACAGTTCTGTTGTCTCTGCCATTTCAAATGTCCCCAGGAACGAGAGACTAACTGACTAATTGAAAATCCTCAGTTCTGCCTGTCACATTTGCCAGCATGTGCTGCTGAGTTCTCGCATATTGTAGTTCGGTCACATAAGTGCACAGCTTGTCTAATTATGAAACCCGTCACACCATATAAGCTCAGTGGCATGTGTAGTGAGAGGAGGAGTGGAGCTTGTTTCTTTTATCTCCTCTCCTTTCCTCGTCTCTTTACGGGCAACTGTACTTCTTGCGTCCTGGCTGACTGAATTGAAGGTATGCATTATGGACCTTTTCTGCCATTAACCCCTTCATCAAGCCTATAGCAAACAATTGGATGTTTTTCTGTTAGTAAATAATTTTTAGAGCGATTTTCTTTATTTTTTGAGCAACTACCATACTTCTGACTACACTACCATTCAATGCTAAAAAAAGAGCTTTTTGAACTTAATCAAAGAGTCCTAAAAAGTTTCAGTTTCTTCAAAATTATGAAGCAGCATAGTTTTAACACTGATAAAAAGAAATGTTTCTTGAGTGTCAAATCAGCATATTAGAATGATTTTTTAATGATCCTGTGACACTGAATACAGAAGTAATGGCTGCTGAATATTCTGGTTTCCCATTACAAGAATAAATTATTAAAATTACAAAATATTTAAATAGAAAATAAAAAAACCTGTTGTTTTAAAATGTAATATATAAAATAAATATTATAGGTTTTTTTTTTCTGTATTTTTATTAAATAAATGCAGCCTTGTGAGCATAAGCAAATTCTTTCAAAAACATAAAAAAAAAAACCTTGCAGACCCCAAATTTCTGAATGGTAGTGTACAAACTGATTGAAGGAAGGAAGAGCATGTGACATGGTGGTTTTTATGTTTGTGGTGTTTGCTCTGAAATGCACCTGGCAACTTTGTGGGCAACACTTTGGAGTTTATTTATAAACATGCATGCTCGCCAATTACTAAAGCTGGTTTTTGCACTTGGAATTCTTATTTTTGTGTGAAAAGGTACATGTCAGAGCTGTGGCAGTGCAGACTTGCTTGAGGAGAGATTGTGTCCCTTTTTCTTTTTTTTTTAATATCGTTTTTTTTTTTTTCGTCTTAGTATCTTGCATGTGTCGTTGTTGAGTCAGGCGTTTTCGCCTTTCCACGGGAGTCAATTAAAAGGACAGGCGTGGACCGGTATATCATTGCTGAATGAAAAAAGAAAACATCCACACGTACTTGCACTCGTCACTGGACCCTATGGTGATGAAACCAAGCAGTCTGTCTGCTTCAGTTCAGCAAGAAAGCAGAACACTGTGTCCCAGCTGGAGATAATACAGCCCTCTGCCAAAGGATCCATAGCTCAGAGCTGAGTCACTCTCACGTAACGCTGGCAGAGCTCTCTCTCTTTTTCACTCTCCAAATACCCCTCTGATCCTGTTGTCTGTGTGACCCTTCCCAGCCGGCAGACTGTTGGCTTTGGGTGGAATGGAAAGTACTTGGTATTACTCATAAGTGGTCCATGACATGTACACTCTGTTTTTTTTGTTTTTTTTTGACAAGACATTTGGGCCTTCAAAATTAAATCTGGTGGTCCTAATCGACCTGTGCAAGCATTGTTTATCCTCAGCATTTTGTCAATAACTGCCTGTAGTGCAGAAGCTTCTCTCACATTTCACAAGCGTTTGTTGCCATTACTTCATACCTCTTTTCCCTCCTTGACACCATATGGCTGTCACCGTCAAGACTCTATAAAAGTGAACAAATAGCCTGATCTGCACATTTGCTTTCACTATTAGCTTTTTTCCTCTTACAACACTGCTTGCCCAAGCAAAGGAACTCCAATACCAAACAATTGCATCAAAATCCCACATTAACCTCACCCAGCAGAGGAAGTTCTGACCAGATTTCGGCATCGAGACTTCCTCTTGCGTTTAAACCATTTAACTTTTCCCATCAACAGGGGCTAATTTTAGCAGCACTGAGAGACCGGGAGGCTTCTGGTCTCTTCACATGAGCAGGAAGAGTAGAGTAAGCAATGAGAATGTCCTGAGGAAAAACGCTTGCTGACTCTTTTCGCTCTGGCACCAAGGCACATGGTCATGATGAAGCCAGACGAACATTTATATTAAGGCTAAAACTATTATGAAGATGAAAACTAGTGGAAACAGTGTGTCAAAAACAAATGGTTTAGACATTAGGAGCAGGTACATTTGAAATGGTCGACACAACAAGAAACTGCCATGCAAAAAAGCCATACAAGATGAAACAAATGAAGTTAGTTTAGTTTGCTTCATCTAACCATCATAAAACAAAACTTTTGAAATTATGTGTTTAAATGCCTTGAACCACATAAACTTTACCGAATCATCAATAATTTGTCCTCTAGTGTGAGCCATCTGGAGCTTAGCAGATCCAGTTCATGCACGAATATATTGTTGCATTTGATAAATTAATGCAATGCTAAAAGTAAACTGAAACTGAAAACTATTTATAACTGGTACAAATGCAGTGAATGTTTTTTTCCACAAAGTCCATTGTGACTAATCTCTTTTCTCTTTTAATCTAATTTAATCATGACCCTCCTTTTTAAATGAAGATGGTAATCATATTTAAATCTGTAAGTAACTCTGCTGGGAAAAAAATCAAGCTTCAGGAACGGGCCTGTTTGTAGCTGTTAGGCGTAAGTGTGACAGTCACTTTCAGGGTGTGAAAGTGAGAGCGTAACTGGGGAAGCATGGGAAAAGAGGATGTAGCTGAGAGATGTAGCTGTAGTGGTGGAGGTATTTTTTTCAGTGAAGGGAGATTACAGCTGTGACGGTGTGAATTCTCACATTGGAGGTCCCCCAGTTCAGCTCTGTCAGCTGACGTGTTAGTTTTGCTCATTGTAAATGTGAATGCATTTTTTTTTTTTACGTGAAAGCATTTCTATGTGTATGTTAGAGTGCTTGTTTTCATTGCATGCCTGTCACTGAAAAAAAGTGTTGTTCTTTCCTTTCTGATGTGCAAAGATTAGTCATCCCTGAGCTTGTGAGAAGCCACAGGTGACTCACTTGTTTGTCAAGTGCAGTCATGGTGTGTGTTCTGTCATGTTGGGTTTTGCTTTCTGGAAAGGCAGAATGGCTCCCTGCCACAGATTAGATTTAATGACATAGACAAAAATATCAGAGGCATGTTTGCACAGATACAAACACGACTCGCCTAACAACAGTTAGTTTCGTTTTGATATGCATGTATAGTGTAAAAAATTTTTTTAATGTATACATGTATACCCACTTGGAATGAATCGAATATCACAATGATATTAAATTCATAAACACAGCAGAATTTAAGGAAAAATATTTTTATTTTGTTATTTTGGATGATGTTACCAGACTCTACCCCTCTAACCATCTGCTCTGTTTATTTTATTTCATTTCATTTTATGCCTTTTTTTTAAGGACAAGCTAAATTGTAAAAATAATTGTCAATTTTCTTTATTCAAAATATAGTTTTCTTTTTTCCTTTTGATTTTGCAATAACATTTGACCTGGACATGCTTACTAAGATGCACATCATGGATTTCACAAGCTATCTTTTTAATATAAACAGTGCGACTTGATGTGAAGATTCATGGTTGTTTTTTGACATCATTGGTGTTTTGTGTGCTGCAGGACCCATCGGATCACCATCACAAACTTTTGCCTGGGCAAGCATTTGGTGAGTGAGGAAGATCTGTTAAAGGACCAGCGAGGCAGTCCAGCCTACATCAGCCCAGATGTCCTGAGCGGTGAGAATTCAGCTTCTCTGTGTGTGTGTGTGTGTGTGTGTGTGTATATGTGTGTATGTGTGTATGTTTGTGTGTGTGATTCACATGACTCACCCTCAATGTCACCACTGTAATCAAAGCTCATAAACCCAACCACCTACACGGCCCTAATCAGGACAGTAGTCACAAACCGTCAGCATGGATGACAATAGTTAGGTTGATTGAAGACATTGTGTGTGTTGCGTTCCGCAAGACTTGACCTGTTAGCTCATCAACGACTCGATACCAAAACTCTTCCCTTAAGCTCGTTGTCATGGCCTCGAGCAGATCTCAGCAGTGCGACGGATCAAATTAACAGCGGTTGTATCACGAGGTGTATCTTTCCAAACAATCTCTCTCTGTGAAGAGAGATTGTGAAGTTCACTCAAGTGATGTAATTTCAGTGCATGGGACTCGCTGTTTATCTTATCTGTCAAACGTTTATGTAGCACAGTCCAGTTAGCCCTACTGAATAGTTAACACACAAATTATTTTGACCTTTTTTGGTTTTCACAAACTTAAAAGTGGCTAGTCAGTATTGTTTTTGGAAATTAAAAAAAAATTGGGGCATTACAGAAACTGTCAATAGAGATTAGCTTGTATTTAACCTAAAATATTCCTTAATATTATATAATATAATAAATTATATGAATAATGTTTACATTAACATTTATATTCCTAAAATATATATTATTTAATAGAAAATAAATGTCTCATTTCCCCCCTCACATTGTAATTTATTAAGTAAAATTAAAATATAATTATATGCCTCACTTTAGATTTTTTACATTGCAAAGCAATTAAGATTTTCATTTATGATGTATAAAGTATTCATATGGTTTCAAAAACCTGTGCATAAAGGCATCACAGGCGTCTGTCCGACACATCTTTACCATAAAGTAGGTTGCCTTCTGAGATGCTTCGTTTTTTGCTCAATTCAAAGACACCATCAGATCATTGAAAAATTTAAATAAAGTGATGTGACGTTGATTTAAGCATATAATTCATTCAATACTGAAATTATATTTAAATGTTTAAAATGTCTATTTTCGATAAAAGTTTGTTTGTGGACTGAGTGCTATTTGTACGATACATAGTTGAAGATCCCTGCATTTAAATCTTGTTTGTTTAGTTGACTCCCTAACTAAAATATCAAACAGCACCACCTTTCCAGAACTGTCTTTCATGTGTTTTCGGGGTTTTTCCCAATACCTCTATGGATGTACACTCTGGTTAGATGGTGCATTCCGAGTATGCATGTTAAATAGAGGCGCAGTCGAGCTCTTGTTTGCGGTCTCCATTCACAGTAAAATGACAGAAAGAAACGGGGAGTAAATCAGCCAAATATGACAGCAGAACAAAGGGAGAGCTGCTTCAGTGAGTCATCACAATGAGTCATGCAGAGAGAAACTACTCTTCCTGCTCTCTCCCTATCGCTCTCTCTCTCTCTCGCTCTCTTCCTCTCACTGTTTTTCCATTGCTCACTCTCTCTCTTGTCTCCCTCTCTTTCGCTTTCTCATGCGTGGGGTCAAAGTAGAAGCAGAGAATGTGTACCTTACAGAAAAATATACCATACAAATCACATTGTTTACTAAACAGAAACCTACCCAATTAACCCCTCTTTTAAAAGCTCCCATGACTCATTTGTACTCTTCTGGCACATTGTGTTCTGCCCATTTATGGTGGTAAACAAAGCGGTGTAGTGAGTGTGAACAGGATTTGGGGGACTTTATAAGATTTTGGCACTATTGGTAGCATATGTTTTATATGTACACACTTTCACTACTCACCCAAGAGAAAGTTCCAGTCAGATTGAATGAGCAAACTCTTGTAGAGCTGCTTGTTAAAATTGCACTTTGTGTTTCCATGTAGGTCGACCATACCGCGGTAAACCCAGTGATATGTGGGCGCTCGGTGTGGTGCTGTTCACCATGCTCTACGGCCAGTTCCCATTCTACGACAGTATACCTCAAGAGCTCTTCCGCAAGATCAAAGCAGCAGAGTACTCCATCCCTGAGTGAGTCTCTCCATTATCTTTCTGTGCTTTGATATGAATTAATTGTTGAAAAATGTTAATTGGCAAATATTGTGATGGCCCTTGATTAAAAGGATTGTTCACCCAAAAATGAAAAACACTCATGTTCTTCATGACATTGGATGTCAAGATTTCCGTTGAATTGTTCCTCATGTATAATTGATGTATGACTTCACAAGATGTATGGACCATTTTTATGGTGCTTTTGCGCCCTTTTTGAAGCCTAAAAGTTACTTGTACCTTATTAATAAATTGCTTGTGTTCCATGGAAGAAAATAAGTCATATGGGTTTGGAACGGCTTCAATTTTATCTCTTTTTTTTTTTTTGGTGAGCTATTCCTTTAAATGAAGACTCTAAAATGTTTTTTGCAGATGGAAATGCTAATTTGTCTTTGTGCCTGTTTCGTTTGCGCAGGGATGGGCGGGTATCAGAAAGTACAGTGTGTTTGATCAGGAAACTTCTGGTGCTTGACCCCCAGCAGAGGCTCACTGCCACCGAGGTGCTCGAGTCTCTGAGCGCCATCATCGCATCCTGGTGCGTCTCATCTGAAATGAGATCAACTTTATTGTTCCATTTTTAGCCAAGACTTGTTGTCAGAGTTCACGTAACTTATTAGGAATTCATGTGATGGGATGATGTCATTTTTGGTCAGCGATGTTGTCTCGCCACATTTTTGCAATCCAGTGCAGTTTTCAGTCATGCATTTAATGTTCCCTTGGCTGTAGATCTGAAAATTCCCATTTGTCATGGACTGATTTATTTATTTATTTTTTAAATAGGCAATCTGTGTCCTCACTGAGTGGCCCTCTACAAGTGGTGCCGGACATAGACGATCAGCTTAACCACCCCGAACATCTTCAGGAGGTCAGTACCGCTTGTAGGTGTTACAATAATATTGAAGGATGACTCGGAGTCAAAAAAAGTTTGCTTTAACACTGCTGTTGCGTAAAATGTTGCATTAAAATCATTGGGACCATTTATGTATGTATGACCTGACTTATATACAAATTCATTTTACTTGTATTTTATAAATATGGTCCAAAATATGTAATGCTTTAAGTGGCATTGAATCATGGATAATAATAGAAACTTCCTCTTTAAACTGCATTAACATAATGAGGTACTTTCTGGCACTGAAACGGTCTTTTATTGACCCCCCCCCCCCCCCCCCCCCCCACCCCCCAC